CGTACGTGAACGCATGGCCATTACGGACCTGGAAGGACACCTTGCGTGACAATGAGGCTCTACAGACCTGGTACCGCAGAAGGTGCCCCTGTATCCCGGGCGAGGTCGCCCCGCTGCAGGTGGCCGTGGCAAGGTCTCACGTTTCCTCTCGTCTCCGGGACTTTCTCTCATGTCCCTGGAATCCTGCTCTGTCCCGGGGCCAGGCCATCTGCTCGGGGCTTTCCATTTGCACTCTTCCAGACTTTCCCTCCCTCCTTGAGAACTCCCTCCTCCCTCTGTCCCGAGCTCTTTTGATGCCTCTGGTTCCCTGAGTGAGAGACTCACTGACCCACCCCCTGGACCCCACTCCCTTCTCTGTTGGGTGGAGGGCAGACCAGTGGTTCCTCGGCCTAAAATCTGACCTGGGCTCCCATGTGCTGTAGGCAGAGCTGAACCTTGGGGGTCATGTTCCTGTCTGTGTGTCCGGGTCACCCATCGCCCTGCTCCAATACCCTTCTTTCCCCTTTGGTCTCCTTCTAAATCCAGCTCTTTGTCAAAGGGTCTGTTCTGTCTCCCCTTCTCCATGTGTCTGATGGCTCGGGACCCCACGGCCATTTCTTTCTCGGGGGCCCTCTGGCTTTTACAGTCAGTCCCATTGGGTTTAGACCTCAATTGCCCTACCTTTGCTTCTTACAAGTTGACCTTGACTCTCTGAATGGTGGGTAAGCTCCTTGGGGAGGCAGAAACAGGGCATGTCTCGCACTGGTACTCTCCCAGCCCGGTGTGCCTCAGTCATGCCGACCCCCGCAGGGAAGCTACGTGTAAACACCCGAAGAGTTGTTTTTATATCTGCAGCTCATCGTGATGGGTCTTGCCTATCATAAAAGTGTTCATTTTTCACTATAAAGTAATGCCACCTATCATGTTAAAGATATTTTCATTATGACTCGAATTAGTAATGGCATCCCTTCCTGCCATGGAGACGCCGCCACCCGAATTCTTTTCTTTTGTGATTGTAATAATTTGTAAGCATTATCAGGCTTCATTGTGGTGTCTTTTTGTTGCTTTGAAATGGAACCTGCCCATGGAGGTCAGTGTGGAATTGTTTTTGGACAATGATAAAGATAGCCATGGGCACCCCATGCTCCAGGGTCAAACCCAAAGCATAAGTGATGTTTTTAACCTCCGTGAGGGGCCTCATGGCTACTGACTTGGAACTCAGAGCTGCTTAGAAATGGTTCCGTTTGCAAATGGTTCCGTTTGCAAAATCAGGACAGAGGCAAATGGGTCTTGTCACTTCACGTCAGAGACTTCTCTTCTCCTTCCATAGCACAAATAGTGACGAGTAAGATTTCTTGTGGTTTTCACTGAAGCCTCATACCGTGACGTCCTCTGAGCTTAGAATCTCTTAGGTTCATCTGAAAGGCTAAACCCGACAACTGTGGGAAAGCCAGCTGCTGGCCATCGGGGTCCGTTCCCTGGGACATGAGGAGCCAGCAAGTCCCCTCTGGAGCGTGGAAGTCTTTTGCACACCTCCATTTTTTTTTTTTACCTTCTTATGGCTTTTGACCTTTGTATATTGAAGATACCCTGCTGCTCTGGTTGTAAGGCTATGTAGAAATCAAAACTTGAACAGTAACTTGCCCCAGCGTTTATCATTGCAGCTCAAATTCACATAATGTCTATTTGGACTTTAACAACCAGGAAGAGCTAAGAAAAACCCTTTGGTTGGAAACCCTTCAAAAGTATCTAATTGGGCTACAGTTGTGCTTTCCGCAAAATGAAGCAAAGTAATCCTTTCATGGTTACAGAAAACAGTTGTTTGAGTCTTTTATGAGGTTGGCGTTCTGCTGCAGCCCGGGGGAGTAGTTCTCTTTGTGTAAAAGTGACTTTGGAAATGAACGAAGGACAGAATGGGTACAAGGTGGATTTATGAGCACTTAAAAATAATTGTAAAAATCTTTGCCAGTGCGCACTTAACAACAAGACGCCCCCCTTGTTCTAGGTAGGTTGCCTCAGGAAAAAGATGAAAGCAGTTATGTCTTTGGTCAGACTTAGGTAAATTGGACAACAGGTGCTTTAGGTCTTCGTGGGAAAGACAAGTTTCTAGCCCCGTGTTTCAGGAAAAAGGCCTTCGCTGATGACGTCTGCTGACCTCTCTCGAAACACGAGAGATGGGCTGCAGACCCAGGGCCATTGCGACAGCAGGCGGCGAGCGCGGAGCTGACTGGGGCTCCAGCCGGGAGGCAGGAGTGCCAGCCAAGCCTTTGAGCGTTATGGCTGCCGTGTTTGTGCTCTCTGGAAACTTGAGTGTGCTCAGCGTTTCCTTCCAGGTACTTAAGTTGCTTGTTCGTTTATTTTTTACTCTTACAGGATGGCAGTTCCCGTCACACGCGCAGAAGCCAAACTAGGTGTTTTGAGCAGGAAGGGATTTAATGAAAGGGTTTGCACTGCTGCTCTTGCGGAAGGGCTGGACGCAAGGAGGGAGAGATCGGGAAAGGATGGAAGCCCCTGACTGCTCCGCAGCTTTATGGAGCCCGTGGCTCCTTATCCCTTTGCCCCAGGTGGTGGGGAGTGGTAACAAGCACTGGCTGACTTTTGCAGCCACCAACCCCTGTTGTCACAGCCACAATGGGAACTGGAGCTGTGGCCATAGCCAAGAAAGGAATTCCCACCACCTCCCACCTGCCTTTTGGTCTGGTACTAGGCGCCCCCCAGGCTGGCAAAGGATTCTGGGAAATGTAGTTTCCCCACCTCCAGCTCCTGGGATGCAGCACAAAGCCCAGAGGGCAGAGGACATGTGACCCTCACGGTACTTTAGGTGCCATCACAGCACCTTGGGAAATATGAAGTGGTAGCATTTTAATAATTCAGATGTTTATTTTTAGTTAATTATAATGTAAAGTATGAAAAAGTCATTTTGACAGTTTCTTCTATGCAAGTGAAAAGATGACCAGCTTTATGTTAAAGCATATTTAGTTGCAGACTTAAAGAATGTTTGGGGGACTTTTTCATGCACACAGTTCGAACGCAGATAAACAGATGCATGAAAGTGATGGCCCTCTCTGGGCCCTGAGCAGCGCGCCTGCACTCCCAGCCGGCCCAAATGTCCGACGTCCAGCCCGGCCCACAGTGTGGGTATTTGTATTTGACATGGGTCGGTGTTTTTCTGAAGCAAAATGCTTTCTCTGGCAGCGGAATCGCCTGTCCGTATTCCGAGATTATATGTACTTGTCTTCTGGTTGCATTGTTTACATGCTTAATTCCAGCGGGGAATTATTTCGGATAAATAACCGTCTGCAAGTTTACTGGAAATTGTCATGCCTTGAGAAACCAGGGCTTACACTGACGATAAAAGTGCCCTAACTGACCACAGCTGCTACTCATTTATATATATGTAAATCTGTTCACTTCTTTCATCTGCATTAATCTCAGCAGCTCTGCAGATGGGCTAGCGACTACCGTCCCCGTTTTTATTTCTCGCCGTGTCAGGGGACAGGTCATTAGCAGTAGAACCAAGGCGAGGGTTGGGTTCTATAAATAAATATGACAGTTTGCTTATGAATATGCATTTGTGAGATGGTTGCTGTTGCGACAACGTTCATTTTCATGCTCTGGTCTAAAGCGGAAGCCTGTTAGGGTGAGCACGCCGCTTGGAGGGAGGCGGAGGCAGTCGGTGGAGGGGAGGCCTGGATGCTTTGCCTGGAGTTCTCAGAGCCTCTCCCTGCAGGTGTTGCACATGGGCCTGCCGGGGAATAGGGGTGCGGTGAGGGGCCTCATTGCCGGTGTTCCCCCTCCCGCTTTGCAGAAGGAGTCCTGCCTCTCTCCCGTCTCATGATGGTACACAGATGGGGTGGGGGGTTAGAGCCTGTGGGGACCCAACAGGGGGCAGTTTGGAACGTTGGTTTCGGTGTTAAGGAAGTTAAGGAAGTAATCAAGAAAGTCAATGACGCTTATGATGTGGTCAAACAACCTTTTGCAAGTCTGGTGGTTTCCGTTTCTTTCCTGACAGTGACACTGTAGGCGGGCTTGACTAGCATGTGGTTGGTTAGTAGAGAAGTAGAAGTAATTGTGATGATAGGTTGTGGACCTGGCATATAACTAAGAGGCAAAAGGGTTGAGTAACATGGTGGTAACAGAACCCTCTCTGTTCCCACTCATTTTTTTTCATATAGACAAGCTTCTTGGCACATACATTTATAAAAATAAAAAAAAAAAGAGTAGAATTGAGGAAACTGAGGTTGAGCCCTAACTGGTTCTCGTAGTAAGCATTCTTCATCTACAGGCGGCACCAACCAACTGGGAAGGGCTAGACTTCCTTAACATTCTGGAAACGGAGAGCTAGCTGCCTTTCCAACAAAATTGTACTCTCGTGTAATGATTCTGTTCAAAATTCACTGAATCTTACGTTTTTATCCGTTATGGTCTAAAAGTAGCTGTCATTGTAACCTAGTCAGAAAACATTCTACTATTTAGAGACGAGATTTTTAAATAGAAGAACTTGTAAATTAAATGTTAACTTACATACATAATTTACTATATACAAAGGTATAAACAATAATAATGTTTATTTACCTCACCATTATGAACACAATACACAGTGACACATAAAATGCTAGGTTTAAAGGATGTGAGAAGGAAAATAAGAATTGAAAGAGGAAAAGAATCGGTGCCAAACTTTAGAGATTTGGAGAACTTGTCTTCAGTGGGTGGTGGAAGATTTCAAATGGCCGAGGTGCTCAGACCCCATTGGATACAGATGAAAGAGTGACGTAGCAACATTATTTGAAAATGTCAGTAATTTATAGCATAGTAGAAATTACACCCTTGGCCGTTACCGAAGGAGACAGGGAAACTTTTTATAAATCAATGTGAAAACGCATGTGATTGATTTTTAAATTTTCTTTAAGGAGTGTATGGGCAAAACTATGTGCCGGTCACTGACCTGCACCTGAGATAAGCTCAGGCGCCTCGAGGGTAAGCGTGGCCACACGTCCTCTGAGCATCCCTTTGTCTTCCAGTTTGACCTCGTGTGCGTCAACGCTTGGATGCTGGACCTCACGCAAGCCATCCTGAACCTGGGCTTCCTGGCCGGAGCGTTCACCTTGGGCTACGCAGCGGACAGGTAGGCATCGCTGTGGCAGCACCCCGTGCGTGCGTGGAGATGGAATGTCGTACATTAACTGCTAGAAAAATAGACTTACTAGACGCAGAAAGCAGTGCTAATTCCTCTGCTCATGATGTTCACGCTGGTTTGACTGGACTCATTCTTTTCTTCTTAAACTGTGTCCGTCTCCTTTGTCCTTGAACTCCGCAGGTGGGTCTGAGAGCATCTGAGTGGAAGCGCAGACCCGCCAGCGGTGGCCCCCCCTGGGGCTGACGGACAGCGGGCTGGACACTGTGGGTTCATCCTGTGCACATCAGCCCCGCGCTGGCTGTGGTTCGACTCATTCAGTCATAGGTCAGCCCCTGCCAAATTTGGTCCATTTAATGAAAAAAAATAACAAACCTTGTATTTTATTCTACAGAGTTAAAACTCCGCAAAGAAAAGCTTTCCAAAAATCATTAGAAGAGTTTTCTCTATTTAACCTTCACAAATGGACCAGTCCGTGGCAGACACAGTGCTTGTACATGTTCAAGGTCATGCGTTCTATTCGATATTCCCGTCTCAGACATTATTGATGTCAGCTGTCCTGCTTTTGTTTAGCTGTTCCTTCATCCCAATTCTAACTATGAAAATACTTAGGGTAATTTAATAATTCCCTCCGTACCCAATGGGACAGGGAGAGGAAGCTCTGGCCCTTGACCACACCTGGCTTAATGTTGCTCCGGTCCCCCTAGCCCAGCCTGGGCGGGTCCTGTGGTCCCTGCTCACAGCCGACAGTGCTAAGGGTACATCCTAGACACCCGCCCGCAGGATTGCGTGAGCTAGTGGGAGACAATAATGCACCCCACACCCTGCAGCTGGCTGGTGATCTGAGTTTGACCCCACCAGGACTTCAACGTGGGCGGAGCCTGTGGTTTCCTCCTCCGACCCTTCCACCCTTCGTCCATGTCCATCTCTGAGGTTTCTCTGGCTGTCCCCATAATCCTCATCTGCATGCGGCTTTCTCCTTAACCCTTCGTGTCCGATGCGCTTTTCCTGTATTTTATTGGCCCCATAAATGCTTCTTCTTTTATTTTTTTAAATCTCCCCAACCTAGCATTTTGTCTCTCTTGGCTGGCTACAATTGGAAGTTGAGTTATGTCCTTTTAGCATGTATTTCTTTAATTTTGTTTTTACTCTGCTTAATTTAAACAGTAGGCTTTGCTCCTTCTGCGTGTTTCTCTTGCACAATCCGTAAACATGTCTTCAGAGCAAAGGGACGGGACGGAAGGAGATACAGTGTTCCCAACTGCACTCCAGGAGGAGACGGCCCGTATCCTCGGAGACGCCTTGTCCTTGGGAGAGGACAGACCCCCGAGTGATTCTGCCCCCCGCAGGGCCGGCCATCTGTCAGCACCTTCTCCTCTTCATGCCTCCGACAGAAAGGATAACTAACAGCTTCACAGGCCATGTATCTGGGGGAGGGCAGGGAGTGAGTTTGAAAACTGGGCCTACTGCCGCCTCCACTCTGCTGGCTGGCTGAAGCGAGACGATGCGTGTGTGAATCTGGCGGACGTTGCTAGGGGAAAGTGTTACCATGGCAAGTCTCTTAAAAGTCGCCGATGATAAACTCTCTGCAGCTATAATTTGGCACAGTTCTGCGGAGCCATTTAACTTTGGATTCTCAGATCTTCCGCCCATGATACCTTGTTGCCTTTTTCTAAACTATTTACTCCTATTAGGTGAATGGGGAAAACGAAACACAAAATTTAGGGGCAACTCACATTGACCTGAACTTTACACAGAGCTTTCTTGTCAGCACCTCCTCGGACCCTCTAACCACAGTCTCACTGTGGAAAGGTTAGAAATACACGTTTCTACACACGTAGAGGGGCGCACACACACACGCACACACACATGGGGTCCGGCAGAAGTGACGCCTGCTGCGGTGTGATGGGTGGGGTGATAATACGGGTGTCACGATTTATAGTTTTAAATTGATCATGTCACCCAAATATCATGCGGTGCTTGAGGGTGATATTGTCATGTTACAGAATGACATGCTTATAATTTCGTAGTAAAAAGAGGCATTATTTATGCTGGACCCTGTGTGTGTGTGTGTGTGTGTGTGTGTGTGTGTGTACACTCCCGGAAATGAAGCTGCAGCCCAAACCTTCTGTGGAAAAGGAGTCTAGGTGGATGGGTCTGTCCAGAAAGTATCCAGCCGCGTAATGTGAAAAATAGAAACATTTCTTGAAGAAGATACAAGATATGAAAACCACTGTACATAGGACAATGACACCTAAGTCCCCTGAAAGTAGGCGCCTTGGGACCTCACACAGTTCTCCCAGTCGCCATCAGCTGCCCCCTCGTATTTATCTGAATCTCATCGATGGTCTGGAATCTCTGCCCTTACAAACATGATTTTAGTTTTGGGAAAAGCCAGAAGTCACAGGGCACCAAATCTGGACTGTAGCAGGGCTGAGTCACCTGGGTGATTTCATGTTTTCCCAAAAAGCTACATGAGACATGATGTATGAGCGGGTGCATTGCAGAGACAAAGTCACCCATAGCCGCAGCCTTCTGAATCATCCACATAGTTTCCGTGGAGGAATGTTCAAGTTTAATGCAAAATTGGATGCAGAATCGTTGCTCTGCTCACTCAGACATTGTGAAGGCGACAGCCACACAGTACACAAGCTCACTCAATGGTGTGTACTGCCCCCCACTGACTAGTACAGTGAAGTCGTCATTGTTCACGCATGTGCATTCCAGCCCACTCTCCTTGGCTGCCAGGTTACATCAATATCACATGCACAGTTCTTGTTATATTAACAACGGCTGGACTTTTTCCAGACAGGCCTCGTCGAATACATGGCAAGAACAACAGAACAACAGAAGCAAACGCACGAAACCCCGAGTCTTGGTGAAGTTAAGAAATTTACCCCCGAATTTGTCCTTCGGCCTCTTTTCACAACACTCAGACGGGCAGTCTTTTTCCTGGTGTCGGAGCCGATGTTTACGGTGACCCTTCCTCTCTCTTTCTCACGAAGGTACGGCCGAATAGTCATTTACCTCATATCCTGTTTCGGGGTTGGCGTCACCGGCGTGGTGGTGGCATTTGCGCCCAATTTCCCTGTCTTCGTGGTCTTCCGCTTCTTGCAAGGCGTGTTCGGAAAGGGGACGTGGATCACTTGCTACGTGATTGGTAAGACACGGCCGCACCTCCCTGTCTACCTGAGGACGGGGGTTGGGTGCGTGAGAAGGGCGGGCCAGTCGGCCTTCCTCCCTCGTGCAGGTACGCCGAGGCTTCGTGTGGCGACAGGACCTGTTTCTGCAAACAGCGGGTGCGGGGGCAAGATTCCGACTCTCTAGGAATTGAAACGCCACCTTGCTTCAGGGACCGAATATGGCATATCACCAAACAGGGGGGTGACCGCTGTCTGGGACCACCGTACTGTTATCCCATGATTTTTTCTTCTGCTTTTCTTTTTTTAGAGATTAACTTTTATTAACATTTCCATAGTTCCTTGAAACATTTTTAAAGACCTTTCTGTGTATTTCCTTTTTTTTTTCTTGTTTTGATTTTTATTTATTTATTTATTTTTAGAGAGGGAAAGGAGGGAGAAAGAGAGAGAAATATCAATATGCAGTTGCTGGGGGTCATGGCCTGCAACCCAGGCATGTGCCCTGACTGGGAATCGAACCTGCGAAGCTTTGGTTCGCAGCCCACGCTCAATCCGCTGAGCTACGCCAGCCAGGGATTCCTTTCTGTGTATTTCTGAGACGCAGTCTAAGGTGACACTCCCGTGCTCTAGTCCTTCTGTGTCCGCGGAGAACTTTTCACCATGCTGGAGATGTGAGTGGAAAGGGAGGGGTTCATTTGGGAACCCTTGCTATCTCCCGTAACTAGAAAGTTTGACCTTCTGGCTGTGAAAGGAAGAAAGCCTTCCCCTTGCTCTCGGCTCATATTACTGGGAAGTCCCGGCTGCTCTCTTTGGCTTGACTTTCTGTGGTGTCGAGACGGGCACCTACTCTCAAAATCATGGTGGATTTGTGATCAGGGGAATTTGAATACTCCTCTTTAATCATCACCGGAGATGTCTGGGCTTCCGTTATGCTAGGCGAGTCCTCCCCAAGCAGTGTCCACTTTGGAGACTGTTTGAAAGTCTTCTTATGGACAGGAAGGGAGGGAGAGTGCTAGAAGGATTGACTGTCGCTGCCTGGCGCAGAAGGGGTGACTTTGAAATGTGAAGGATTTTTAAGGAGACCCAAATACAGTGCATTTTAGAAGTTGTGGTCTTGGGGCAGGAAGAAGAGCTTACCCCAGAGTGATCAGAGTGGAGCGGGCAGCAGAGGGAAGCCGATTCGCAAGAGGGGAGGAGGAGGACGGATGCCAGGAATGACGCCCCCGCCCCGTGATTTTCCAGGAAATGTCACACACGCGGAAAGCCCAACCCTGTAGAGAGAATGACCACTGGATAGAAACGATCTCGTGATAGTGAAACATTATTTATAGAGTCTAATGTTCACACTGAATCTCCTAGAGGGACTGTAATGTGCATCCCTTTCGAGATCAGAGATAAAATCTAGCCAGTGTATTATGTTTATGTTTTCATAATCACAGTGACCTTCTAAAATGGCCATCACTGCAGTTTTCTTGAAACCAGCACCCGCAGTCTTTGCGTGCCCAGAAGAATGCCGGGCCGCGTGTAAGGAGAGCGCGAATGCTCGCCGGTGACTGGCGGGGAAGGCCTTACTTAGGGCGGGCGCCTTGCTGAGTGTCTGGGAGGCACGGCTCCGCCGTGTCCGCCTGGCGTCTTGGAGAGCTCCGTAGCGCTCTAGCAACGCAGACGGATGTCACAGGTGCAGTGCCTCTGCTCGTTTATTTCGGAGCTGACCTTGAGGTCCCCTGACTTCTGTGTTTGTTTTCCTTCAGTGACAGAAATCGTCGGCTCCAAGCAAAGGAGGATTGTGGGAATCGTGATTCAGATGTTTTTCACCCTTGGAATCATAATCCTCCCCGGAATCGCCTACTTTATCCCCAATTGGCAGGGGATCCAGCTGGCCATCACGCTGCCCAACTTTCTCTTCCTCCTTTATTACTGGTAATGTGGTTTTCATCATTATTGAATTTATTCTCATTCCCCGGAAGCATGGAATCTCTGCTTCCAAACCAACATGAATAGGAAAATAATTAAGGAGCTTTTCTAGCATCTCCAGAATGTCAGTGGGCTTCGGGAATTTCTAGAGAATTTGAAAAAACTGATAGAGATTATTTATTGATTATTTGACTCATGGTTATTACAATTAATAAAATGCCAAGGCACAACATTCTAAATAGAGTGTTAATTATGTTTTATTTCGTAATATCTTTATGAAAACTACAAGGCAAAAAACCATACTTGCCAGTGTTTCAGCGCAAAATGCAGTGACATTGATTTGCTTCTCTGTATATTTTATTAAGCAAATGAATATTGCTTAGAAATTCTCTGAGGAATAAGAAAATGTTAAGGATATGAGAAAAGTAAGCGAAAGCTACAGGTATATGCATGTGACTCCTAATGGCATGAACATGTTTTAATCATTCCTCTAATTTAATTTTTTAACTTTATTTTTATTGTTGTCACTATTACAGATGACCCCATTCCCCCCCCTTTGCCCACCCCCACCCAGCCCCGCCCCCACCCAGGCCCTCACCACGCTGTTGTCTGTGTCCCTGGGTTTTGCATCTCTGTTCTTTGCCTGATCCCTTCACCTTCTTTCATCCAGGCTCCTCCCCCTCCCCCCCCCCACCCCCCCCCCACCCCCCTCAACAGCGGCCAGTCTGTTCCAGGTGTGCGGTCAGATCAGTTCATATAATTTGGGTCCCTATCTTTTTCCTGAATGCGCACTGAATCCCAGTTCTTGGCACATGTGTAATCGAGGACACTGTATCCTAGGACAGCCTGCTGCAAGAGCAATGCGCTGTTTTATTATTTTTACTATGAGCAATGATCCAGTGACCAAGTGAGCATTGCTTTTTTTTTTCCTTCCATAATCAACTTGCAAAGATGGTCTGTATCTCTGAGAGCCTGCTCTAAACTCAAAGATGCCCCTACATTTTTGTCTAAGTGTGAGATCCATTTTGCTAGAGACACTTGAGCCGTGAAAGGTCAGGTTTTGAAATCCCTACTCATGACTCAAAAATGCTTGCATCTTGCCAGGGTGGTTCCCGAATCTCCCCGCTGGCTGATTACTCGGAAGAAAGGCGACAAAGCGCTGAAAATTCTCAGGAGCATTGCCAAGTGCAATGGGAAGTATCTCTCGCCCAGCTACTCAGAGGTACTTTCATTTGTCACGAGTAACAAGGGTCGTTACGGTGGGTGAGTCAGCCACTTATACGCACGTGTTACCGCATCGGACTAAGTCATTCTTCGTGGGTGAAGTTGTAACAGCGTAATAGTTGCGGTTCATTGGTCATGTAGTCCATATTTTAATGCTGGCACCAAGTTACTTAAATTGTTATACTTTGCTGACTGCAGGCTGCACTGCATTTAATCATTCCTTCATTGCAATTGGACAATCTATAGATCTTTTCTTGACATTCAATGTAGTCTAAAGATTTGTCTTTAGATTTAGTCTCAGAAGTGCTATGCATTTGAACCAGAACTTGAACAAGAATGTAATATTGTGGCCTTCAGACTTACTGGACAGCTGCTGCCCCAGCTCCCCGCCCCATGCTTCCTCCCTCCCTCCATTTCTCCCGTCCTTCCTTCTTTCTTCCTCTCCTTCCCCCAGCAAAGGCCTTTAGGTGCCTCTGTATCACTGCTCCAAGAGAAACAGGGTCGGGAGGGGCATTGAAAGTTCATTATTTGTCCTTTGGAAGATTTGATAAGCGGTCGAAGACGTACACGTCCCGGCATATTTGGAGCAAGCCCTGAAGAGAGAGAGAATAGCACACAAACATAGATGCCATGCGTAGCTGCAAAGACTGAAGTGAATGCAGAGTAACGGCAGGGTTATTACAGGAGGTGCGTCAGAGAAGAACTTTGGGAAACTGCAAGTCTCGGTTCTACACCGTGAAGAATAGCAGGGTGCTGACATTGTTTTGTTCATAGCATTCAGTTTGTTTTGATAGAAGCATTCTAATAAACATCAAGGTTGCGTTGGTTTTAGGGGTACCTCTCCAGCACCCCCAGAACACGGTCAGCTGAGTTTGGGTTTCTGCTGTCTTCTTTCACTCTTGCATTCGGCTGCAAGCAGCGGCCACTCTTGTCCCTGTTGGGAGTAGATTAATGATGGACCTTGAGGTTTACGGATCACAAAGTATATGGTACAGATAAAAGCACAATCTGTTTGAACCACTACGACTAGTGGATCCTTGTTCCGTGGGCACAGTTGAGCTGTGTCCTTCCCTTTTGGGGAAAAGGTATTCATTGCTTCCAGGTTCTCTCTCATCCCATTGGCTGTCCATCTTTACAGCTGGGCCCACCGTGTGAGCATTTGTACTCAATTTTATGGGTCAAGTGAATATTTTCACTATTCATTCAGGAGTATCCTGAAGACATTCCACATGTCATCCCAGAGATAAGCATGTGTGAGAACCAAATAGGAGGTTTTAAGAACATGGAAAAAACAGTTGTGCGCTGCTGGCTTATGAGATAAAACGCACGTTAACCGGGTGTGTCTGGGGTTCTCATGAGCTGCTAAGAGGCCAGAGGGAGGTTCCCAGAGCAGCTGCTGTGACACGTCCTATGAGTGTCTAGTTCAAGGCCACTGCCGCGGATGCACTGACCTGCTTCCAGTTCGTGAGCACCTCGGAAGTCGCTCCCACAGGAAGGGAGGTCAATGTCCCGCCTGGCGGTGCTTGTCCGAGATCATGAGCTTCCAGTGTGGTGACTTCCAGAACCTTCCCTCTCGAGGCTGACGGATCATCCCTGTTTGATGTCAGACTCCGGCCTCCCTCGGGAATTCACTCTGGCATCCCAGCGGCCGCCGTTGGCATTTTGCTACCGAAGCCGAGTCTGGTGTTTGGTGTGTCTGCTTTCGTTATTCCAGTGAGTTTTCACCTCACTCATTTAAACAACTTTATGATGGAACATTTTAAACATATTCAAAAAGAGAAAAAGAGTTAATGAATCTCTTTATGCACGTCACCCAGAACCAGCAATGACCACCGCAGGCCCAGTCTTGGCCTTCTGTACTCTACCGCTGCTGTCCCCACCGATGACCAGTCCTGTCCCGGCAGCACCCCCCGCCCCATCTCGCACCGTTCCGACCGTACCTGTGTTAGAGAAACACACGGGGGGCAGTGACCGTCTCTGGGACAGCATGTGCTCCGTCTCGCGCTCCTGCTGAGCATACACCAAAGAATATTCAGTCGAATACCAATGCTTACACATGTGATCCAGCTCTTACGACTGATGGCCAATGTCGTAAGAGCACATTGGGATGGCTGTGGAGATCAAACATAAAATATAGAAATAATCTCAATATCACCATTTTTTAAAAGATTTTTATTTATTTATTTTTAGGGAGAGAAGGGAGGGAGAAAGAGAGAGAGAGAGAAACATCAATGTGTGGTTGCTGGGGGTCATGGCCTGCAACCCAGGCATGTGCCCTGACTGGGAATCGAACCTGCGATGCTTTGGTTCGCAGCCCACGCTCAATCCACTGATCTATGCCAGCCAGGGACCATTTGTTTTTAAATGACCATAATTTCTTCACATGGATTACCAAGTCAGTGTTTCCAATTCGCTGCTTCCCTGACTGTCTCAGGGTGTTTACCCCTTGTGTGTTGAATTAGGACAAATGGCTTTTTATATTGTGATTGGTTGATAAGCCTCTTTGGTCTTTATAGGTTCCTGTACTTTTTTTTTTCCTTGAAACTTTGGGGGTGAGGAATACTCTTGGGGGCTTTACTGCCATAAAGTTTTCTGCAATCTAAATTTTGTTGCTTAGCTCTCCGAGGATCCTATGACGTGGCTCTTCCCAGAAAGTGGTAGTTAGCTCTAGTGCTTTCATTGGCTTCCGGTTGGATAATTTCGGCAAGACCCCATTTGTCTAAGTGACTGCATGCATTTCCATGAAGAGACACTTCGTGTCTGCCTGTCCCTTCTTGTGATGTTAGCTGCCACCGATAATCATCGCCTGCGTTTATTAATTCATCAGACGGTGCCAAATGGCAGTATCTCATTTTAACAGGATTTCTTTATTTGTTACTCATTGGATACTTCTATCCAGACTAACTTCTCCCACCAGCTGCTCGGTGACTCTGACATGCAGTTCCCATAGAAAACGCAGGCTGCAAGCATATTTTTTCTTTTCAGAATGAGCGGGCTCCCTCCGTCCTCCCCAAAGTGATCACTGTGTCGTGTGTTGTGGGTTTGAAGCCTCGTTATGAACTCCTGGATTTGAATACACGTTACAGGTTTCAAGCCACTGCAGTTTCTGTCGTCATCCTTGTCGACGCTCGTGCCGCCGTCACTGGCAGCCGAGGCTCACCCTGCTGGCTCCCGGGTCTCTGCCGCAGCCCTAGGAGCTCCTGAACGCTTCCTCGCGCTGTTCCGTGCGGCGAGATTTTCCACGCCCATCTCGCAAGTTTCGGTCCCACCCTTGGAACCACCTACTTCTCAAAGGGTACACTGAGCTTTCTAAACGAATGTCTTCTAACTAAACCTATCCATCCCCAGCTCTTTTTAACTGTACAGCATAAGCCAGAAAGCAAAGTACTGTCTTCAGAAAGAGAAGGAATGACCATGTCAGCTCAACACCTTACCAAGGGCTGAATTGTAGGCCAAACTGCAGTCTTCTGTTTCAGAGACCTTAATGTCCCCACCAAGCACAGCGGTGGGCAGAACGCCACTTTGTGGAACTCAGAAACCAGGCCGGCGGCACAGACACTGCATGTGGGCACCGGCACCAGCACCAAAGCGGGGTTCTGCCATGGTTCTGTGAAATGTATCAAGTCCTTCTGTTTTGGTGACTCAGATGACTACTGCCTAGGTCCGTGTTAGGCTCACCTAAAACCTGACATTTCCATGGTCACCTCAAACCTTCACTGAGTCCTTTCGTTGCCTTGGCCAGTGTCCCCACTCTCTGGATATAACCTCAGGGACCCCGAGGCCCAAGGTGGATGACCCTGTGCTCTCGCTTTTCACAGAATGTCTTCTCAGTGCATCCTCACTTTGGAGGAAGTTGTCACCATAGGAATCACCTCATCCTTCAAGGCCTCTCCAGTCTCCACCATGAACTAAGCATGCACATCGTAGGTTGTAGGGAAGGTGGGGATGAATTAGAATCCGCTTGGATGCAAAGCAGTCCCAGAAAGCTGGCAGCTCTGGGTTCCCCTCTTGTCCCAAGAGCCTCGGGGACCTCCCCACCCCAGCCTGTCCCGTTGCTGGCACCAGAGGTCCTGGTCTATTTCAGGGGAACCGACGAGTCCAACTTAGAGTGACCCGAGGATGCTCCATACTACGGAAGGCACCCTAAATTCACTACCCCCGGGGATTACCGAGCCACCGGGGCTCTAGCAAAGGGAAGGGAGGTGTGGGAAATGCCAGATGTTCAGGAATAACCAAAGTGAGGTTGATGAGTCACTTTAGTAATTAACAATTAATCATTAGTAACCACTAACTCATCACAAGTAGCAATCAGTAAAAGTTTCTGGTGCATACGCCAGAAAGTCAGTTGCAGACTGGAAACAGGAGATGATGCCAGGGCTATGTTGGTATAAAGCATCTTACATCGTGAGAAAGTGGCTCAATTTGGTGACTCAGATGACCACTGCTCTTGTCAATGGCTGTGCGTTCTTCGTGTTGATTGGGTATAATACTGAATTTTCCGAAATGAGAGGGAATTGGTCAGGAGTGATGGCGTGGCAGCCCTAAGGAACAGCTCAAGTTTTGCTTATAATTTCCAGAGGCGTAAGCAAGAAATGGCACTGCTCACGTTGGCCTTACAAAACAGGCTACATAAAGTGTGGTTTGTATGATTAAACTGGTTTCGTCTGCTCAGGGGGTTTTCAAAGCTGATCTTTGTTTGTTCTCAATTTTAACAGAAGAAAATATGGACAGTGGATTTGATCCAACACTCAACAGGTAGATTATTCTGAGAACTTGTTGTCCTGTAAACAGTATCAGTTACATTTCCCAGGGACGCTTCTCATCTCGTGGGTGAGTAACCTCTGGTTCCCTGTCTGGCTGCTTTCATTTGCCAAAGCTCCCGGCTGGCCTGCGACAGGTGTTGAAGGGAGAGCCAGCAGGGGGAGATGCAGGTGGTCGGAGCACCCGGCTCTCTGCACACAGCAGTGGTGTGAGTGTGCGTCACCGCACAGAAAAGCC